ACACGTGTTGCCGGGAACACCTTTATCACGCCGGTTCGCCGAACGTAGTCGAGATTTCTTCCACGGGGCATTCGTGATAACGACTCGGCAATGCCCCGTCCCTCGAGAGCGTGAGAAAGAGCGAGAGAGAGAGAGCGTCATGGGCCGCCGTCGCCGGCGGTATATCCGGCGAACGGAAAATATTAACACCGTCCCTGGGCATTATCGCTTCCGACTCTGCGCCGAGGTAAAAAGGGTGTTCGAGATTTTCTACGGTCTCGGTCGCTAGCATTGCCGCGCCAGGTCACGCGCGCGAACGAGATTCGGCGACATAAGTTAGAGTCTGCTCCTCCGTCGGGGGCGCTGCGAATTGCCTCTTTAAAAGGAAGAGAAAAGGAGGAAAAAGAGCGGAAAAACGGACGAGAGACCAGAGGAAGAGAGAAAGAGAGAGAGAGAGAAAACCGGCGGCGAGCGACCGAATCGCGAGCACGTGCACGCGTTGCCGCGCACACCGGCGCCCCACGTAGCGCAATAGCGTTATCGCAGATAACGCACGACGCTCGTCGGCAAATATCGCACAGGGTCGGCGAAGCGGACGCTACGAGTGCACGTGGATCACCGGTCGAACGTTTGAATGCCCCGCGGGCCACGAATGCCAGAAAAGAGAGCGGCGGCGCGCCCCAGCTAATGACATTACGACTTTAGGATGCTCTCGGGCAAATTACATTCGCCAGAGCGGCCGACTGGCCGGCCAGCTAACCAGCCAGCCAGCTTGCACGTCGGCGAATGATATAATAATATGATTCGCTGACATCGAGTGAAATTGCGTAGACGCGTTTAATAATTAAAGTACCGGAGTGGATCGATAATTTAATGCTCCACTTTGGAGTGCTCCGTCACCCTTCACGCCGACTCTACCACCAGGAAGTTTTTCCTTACTTTTTGACGGTCCGCGGTATCGTTTTAAGAGAATTAGAGCACGCGCGCGCGCGCGCGCTCCTTTGTCGCGATTTTCCCGGCGAGTGGGCCATGCTAAAATATACGGGATAATAGTAGAGAGAAAGAGAGAGGGAGAAAGGGGGAATATTTGCGAGACGTTTGAACGCGCAGAGCGCTACGTAATTACATCCGAGTTTCCGGCCAAAATATTTTATCGAGTCGTTTCGACGAGCTCGCGCTCCGTTCTCCTCTACGTGGAGTTTCCACGTTCGTCTTCTCTCACGCCATTCCACACTCTCGCGGTGTTTTTCGTAGTCACTGTGAGCGCGAATTAAGGGAACATCGGAGCCATACCTGCGACATCTCGTTGATATGTGTGTGCCGCCCGCCGCGCACTCGAAATAATTCCGATCGTAACCCAGTTGATTCAAGACACCCACAATGGGATCGATAGAGTATTTGCACCGCTCTCGTTGTTCGCGATCTAAAGGGATTCGACACGGTCGACGAGGCGAATGGAGAGGCGCTCACGGCGATGACGGAGATTGAAGCACAGCGCGACGAGAAATCGAGTCGTAGTTTCGCTGTCTCGATCGATTCTTCGATGTACGCGTGTTAAGTTTATTAACACATCGCCCATCAATTGGACTGATCTCTTTCTCCCTCTCTTTTGCCGTTTTCCAATATAAAAATTAGATCTGGAGTGAGAATTTGTTGGTTCTGCATTAAGGGGTTACAAAACGCCGACAGAAGCACGAATTAAAAAAAGTCATACTCTTATATTAATTTACAATTTTTTACAACTTTCCTCAAATTTTAGCTAATTTTTTATTTCCTGTCACGGTCCCGGAGCTCCTTAAAACATTTGCAAATATCAGTAAACTTGAAGTATTATGGAAGAATTTGAGGTTGCAACATTTATACAAGCTATTGTTCTGCACGCAAAAATGATTAATTACCACCGTTTCATTGAGGCTTAAAGAAGCGCTTATATTTAAAAATTTTTTAAAAAATATTTAGTATTTGTTCATCTCGATAATTTATTTTTCCCACGCATTTAATCATTATTCTTAATTCCAACGAGCAATATTATAATTATGAGAATTGCTCAACTGCAAGCAAAGCATACGCAACAAGCAAGTATTAGATAATCTAATAAAGATTTGCAGATAAGTGGATAAATAAAAATTTACACACTTTCGTAACCTCTTTATTATTATTTTCTATTGGCGTCAGAAATCTTGTTAGGATTTAAACATGCAAAAAAGTAGAAAAAAGTTTCGCACAAGTCTCGTCGCCGGCTGTTCCTGTATTCCGTCCTGGCATCAGCTCCTGGTGGTTGTCACACTGAGAGAAAAATGTATGATATTTGGAACTATAATGGCATAATAAAAATATTATAGTTAGGAATATAATTTTTATAGTAAATGTTACCATAATATTTCTAATATTTACAATATAAGTATAGTATAACTGACCCGTGTAAAATTTTTACCAGGAATTATAATTATTTGAAATAAAAAATATGGTAAGGTAACAAATATTGAATGGTAAGAGAAATTAACTATTTTATATAGTCAATACAATTGGAATATTTGGCAAATATAGGTACATGTAACTATATTCCCAAAAGGTGCTTTACCATATATATAGAGTAATAAGATGGTGACTATAAATCTGTGTTCATTCTACTATATCTTCATGTTTAGATGAACTATAAATATATGTTTGAGGCCAAAACGAACTATAAAATATAGTGAGATTATAGTTATTCCAACTATTTTTTTCTCTCAGTGCATCGTGCGCAGGCACTCGATGGTTCTGCACACAAAAATCACGAGTCAATCGAAAACGCTGAATTAATGATCGCTCGTTAAGCGATAATGATCGTCGTGTGCAAGAGGCAGCACTTCCGATATGTACCGCGCGTGTTCCCCCGATAATGAGATAATTAGATAATTTGACTATCTCAAAGATCCTGAGTATACGGAGAGCGTTGACCGGCCGCATTTCCGGGCCACCGAGTATGTTATCTTGTCCGTTACGTATGTGCGTTATCGTTTGGTGAGTTACAAAGGATCGCGATTGGCGGAAGGTGACTTGTTTACCGTCGCTGAGGCGTCGATTGTTTTGATTGCTCGCGCGCGTACGTATCCGTTTACTCACAACGTCTCGAGCCGACGTGCGCGACGTATGTACATACGCGGTGTCGGTACGTACACGAGTCACGTCGGCTGATCGGAATATTACGCGGACTAATAAAACATTGAATCGTATTCCCGTCGATATCGCGTTAGTTATCGCACGCTGCGTTGCATCCTCGGTCGGGAGATGCAAATATTTCGTCGACTATTGACGTTTTTAATCGGTTCTCGTCGGCGTCGTGTTAGTTAACACGTGTTTCGTAATTACGCGAGTGTTCTGTGCGAGGAAGCAGCCAGGAGCTGGATGCAGGATCGGGAAAGCAGGAGCGTGCCGGAACGTGGACGGAGATACTTGGTATATTTCGAGGTATGTGTCAAAATATTAATTACATTCTAACACGTTGAATGCCGTGACAGCAAGCAACGCGTTGCGATATTATCGAGCGTCTCATTAAGTCTCATATAAAATATAATTAATTACATTTGGAAAATATCGGTTGCACGGCTAATAGAGAGCCAGTGTAGTGTAGTGGCAGAGATATCTATCTTTAATTACATTTATTTACCGTATCTTTGGTGATTCAATCAATTAAGCTTTTGCACAATCAACGGGAATAAGCGCGGCAATCAACGTGTTAAAAAAGATTTAACGATCTCGCCGAGAATAGGGAAGTACCCGAGTCGAAATTCAGAATCTCTAAGGCCGGCATTCTTAGTCTGTCATTGTTTGATTAATTACAACTTCGAGTCTCTGATTATTCATTAACCTGTTATATTTATTTCTTGCAAATAATAAACATCGATCCAGACAGCCGAATAACGGCACACGATATGAATCTGTAATTACTTTTGCTGTCAGTCAAAAATTGAATAATGAACATAGTACAACTACGAATACCGGCTAAAATCTCGCAAGTGCTGAGATTTGTTTCTCTAATAATTTTTCTTAGGACAAAGGCTTTATCTGAAATCTTTTAACATGTTTTTTTCATTTTTGTTGTCATGTCTGGACTAAGTTCGAGTTTTTATTAATGTGTACACACTACTGTTATTTTTGGCATTGCAACTTTTTTTCATTTTTTTTTTTTAATATTCAGATTTAAACAAAAGTTCCAACGCCAATACAAGAAAAAGTCAATTATAAATAAAGTGTGTTGATTTGTTTAGCCATCCCACATTATTTACGCGTATCAATTATTTAATATTTCATTATCGCATATGCTTCATTTGCAATTGAGTAAGTGACATAATTCATATATTCCTCCTTATTGTAATTAAGAACAAAGATGATATGCAGACAACAGACATAATTAATACACTGATAATCGTAATTATTAATAAACATGAA